TATGCATTTGTATGATTCATATTCATGCATATTCATATATCTACCATATGTATGACTCATGCATATACATATATCATATATATTGCTGTTGTTGGGTGACACCGAGTTGAGTACGACTCCCGTAGCGTCCTCACTATCTCTGACATATTTGAGGCTATTGTTGCAGTCACTGTGTCAATCTATCTTGTTGAGGCTCTTTGTCTCTTTTGCTGGTCCTCCAACTTTCCAAATATAATCCCTTTCAAGGAATGGCCCCTTTTAGCAACTTGCTAAAAATATGTTATATAAAACTTGGTCATCCTTGACATACATCAATATACATAGTTTACTAAGGGATTCTCTGGCAAGATTTCAGGAAAAACAAAACAAAACACCAAAATCCAAAAGAGCCCTGAGGTTTTGTCTCCCTAGCTGAAAGTTCTTATTCCTAAAAATTTTCAAATTCTAAACATTTCATATTTTAAAATCTTTACCTTACATTTCAAAGGACTTTCAAGATCCTTCGTGCATTTTGCTCCCTTCATGCACCACAGCACATGTGGCTGTCTTACCCCCCGTCTATGCTTCTGCTTAGCTGGTATACCTCATTATTGCACCCACATCCCATTCAGCTTACCTCTTCCATAGTCATAATCATCCCCGGGAGCTGTCCAGGTCAGGTTAATGAGTTTGTCCCCTTGGATCATTGCCTTCAGGTCGGTGATTTGACATGGTGGGAAAAGATCAGATATAGGAGCTAAGGGGACACCAGAGGCCACAAATGACCCTCCAGAGGAAGTTCTGCTGAAACACACTTGTTTGCCTTGAAGATCATTCTCATCACTCTCAGGTCTTGGCGGATTCCATTCTACTTTACCTACATTTAAAAAAAAAAATGACTCAGTACATAACTATCTACCCCCTCTTCTTCTTTTCTCCACACAAAAATTCATTTTAATATTTCATGAAAAGGCCCTAATTTAGATTAGACTAGAAGTAACAAAGCAAAGAAAGAATCACAATTCTTCATCTAACATATATTTCCTAGATATTTAATGGAATTGGCTTTGGGGGATTATTTTTATAACATTTGTGTGTTCTTCTTTGTATTCTTCATGGTCATTCTTTGAGATGTTGTTGTTGTTGTTATGTGCCGTTGAGTCGCTTGTGACTCATAACGACCCTATATACAACAGATCTAAACTCCGCTCTGTCCTGTGCCAATCGCACCATCTCTGATACACCCATCCCAACTGCCCCAGTCACTGAAGCAATCCACCTCATAGAGGGCCTTCCACTCCTGCGCTGTCCCTCCACCCAACCAAGCATGATGTCCCTCTCCAAGGACCGGTTCCTCCTTACAACATGTCCAAAGTATGTCAGACGAAGCCTCAGAATCCTTGCCTCCAAGGAGCCACCCAGTTTAACCCTTTCCAGGATGAATCTGTTTGTTTTTCTAGCAGTCCATGGTACCCTCAATACTCTTCTCCAGCACCACAGCTCAAAGGCATCAATTCTCCTTCTATCCTCCTTAGTCATTGTCCAGCTCTCTGATGCATAACAAGTGATTGTGAAGACCATGGCCTGTATAAGACACACCTTAGTCTCCAGAGAGACACCATTACTCTTCAGTACTTCTTTGAAATAGTTAACACTATTCTCACTATTTTACAACTGAGGAAAGGGAAGCATACAGAAATTACCCAAAAAAACTTAATTTGAATGAACTGAAATTTGAGGCGAAGCAGACAAAATCTATGTTTAATCTAGTAGTCTTCAATGGACTTTTGCTCTCCTGTGTATATTTATCAATGTCTGGAGACGTTTTGATGATCATCATTCAGGGCCATGGCTGCTAATTAGTACAGAGAGTAGAGGGAGGCAGCTGAACATTCTGCCCTGCACAGGGCAGTCCCTCTGTACCCACAAGGAATTATTTGACTCAAAAAGTTAAATAGTGTCAGAGCTGAGAAAGTCTGATCTAATCGTTACACTGTTTGGCTTCAGAGATTTAATGATTTCTTCTTGATATCAAGCTTTTTACTCAAGTCAAATCTGTTATTGTAGATGACTTACCATCATCAATCCAGCCAGACATATACATGGCTCCGTTCTTCTGAGGGATCACTCTCTGTCTGGCTGCATTTATTCCTCCCAGAGCCCGAACTTTTAAGCTGTATCTACCATTCGTGTCATAAGCCGTAAAATACCTTGAATAGACACCATCATTCTTAGTAGCATCAGCACCTAAAACAGGAAATGAAGAAATAAATATCTCAAAGATAAACTAAGCATTTGTATTTCCAATACTTTAGTAAGGTAAATTTAGAAATTTTTCACAGCAAAGAGAAATGCTGCATTTACCTCTACAAAAGTGCTTAAGATTTGATTATATTAGGGATACAGCCTACTGCCTTCTTTTAGATGCTTCCTGAAGAGTATATGGTTTCATACATGTATGTTGTGTCTTCTTGGAAAGTTGTCTTTCTTCTTGAAATTAAAGATCATGTAATGTACCTCTATCACGCCCAACATAATGTTAGGCACAAAATTAAGCACTCAAGTACTCAAGTCTTTTCTCAGTTGAGTGGAATTTCTGTATAGGACTTGGGAGGAAAATTTATTATGATTATTTAATAAAATTCATGAATTCTCCCAATACGGATTTACATAGGAAACTAGGTTACAGAATTTGTTCTAATGAGTTGCATGCATTACAATTAGCAATTACATTCTTCTTACAGGAAGCACAGTTATTTCTCTCTCCTTAGGAGAATTCTCTAGTGTAAAAAACCAACAAAACAAGATTTTCACTTTGCATGTGAGTTAATAAAGAATCTGCATGAATATAGTGAGTCGTATAAGAACTGTGCTTAAATTTTACCTCTGCTACTTTCTAAATGTGTTAGTCTCATTTTCTGGATATGATTAAACTAACATTTACCACCTTTCATATAGATTGCACTTCTGCTTAAAATAAACAGAAGTCCTCCTCACTGAACCTATAAGTAACATCATGTTATATGAAGAAATGACTGACACTGTCAATCATATAATTTTACTTGAATCCATAGTCAAAGTCTATGGAAGAGAGCAAATAACCTATTACACTGGGCAAATCTGCAGCGAAAGAACTTTTTAAATTAAGATGTCACTTCAAGGACTGAGGTATGACTGACCCAAGCTATGGTATTTTCAGTCACCACATATGCATGTGAAGGAAGACATATAATAATGGGCTCTCTGCTCCTTGTCTGTCAACAGATAGCGCTCTTGATTTTGTGCATCCTCAACTGCATTCCTAACACATGACAGTGAAATTCAGAGTACATGGGTTTGGTCACATTGGATGCCTGGCCACCACAGCTGCTTTTCACTCTGGCAAAGTGGATATTGTTGCCATTAGACCCCTTCATTGACCTCAACTACATGGTCTATATGTTGTGGTATGGTTCCACCCATGGCAAGTTCCATGGTACCCTCAAGGCTGAGAATGAGAAGCTGGTCATCAATGGGAAAGTCATCACGATCTTCCAGGAGTGACATCCAGCCAGCATTAAATGGGGTGATGCTGGTGCTGACTATGTTGTGAAGTCCATTTGTGTCTTCACAACCTTGCAGAAGATTGGGGCTCACTTGAAGGCTGGTGCCAAACACGTAATCATCTTTGCTCCTTTTGCTGATGCCCCGATGTTTGTGACAGGCATGACCATGAGAAGTATGGTAACTCTTTCAAGATTGTCAGCAATGCCTCCTGTACTACATACTAGTTTTCCCAAGGTCATCCATGACAACTTTAGCATCATAAAGGGACTCATCACCACAGTACATGCCATCACTGCCACCCAGAAAACTGTGGATGGCCCCTTTGGGAAAGCTGTAGCCTCATGGCCATAAAGCTTCCCAGAACATCATTCCTGCATCTAATGGCACTGCCAATAAGCAAGGTCATCCATGATCTGAATGGAAAACTTATTGGCATAGCTTTCCCTGTCCCCCACACCTAATGTATCATTCATAAATCTGACCTTCTGTCTGGAGAAAGCTGGCAAATATAATGGTACCAAGAAAGCAGGAAAGTGGCACCAAAAGGGCTCCTAAAGGGCATTCTGGTATGCACAGAAGACCAGGTTGCCTCCTGTGATTTTAACAGTGACACCCACTCTTCCACCTTTAATGCTTGGGATGATATTGCCTGAATGACCACTTTGTCAAACTCATTTCCTGGTATGACAATGAATTTGGCTACACCAACCAGGTGGTCGACCTGATGGTTCACATGGCCTCCAACGAATAAGAGCCTCTTGGCCCACCAGTCAATAGAGCTACATGAGAGAGAGACCCTCAGCTACCGGGGATTCCTTGCCCCAACTCAATCCCCCCCACATACTGAAAATCTCACACCCTTGACACAGTTTTCGTCTACTCCTGAGAAAGGGGAAGAGCTTAGAGAGCACATATTGTTGTATATCATCAATAAAGTACATTCTACTAAAAAAAAAAAAGAGTAAGTAATGCCATTGGATGATTGTGTTAACAAAGAATATAGATTATATATGAACTTCCAGAAAAGGGAATAGTTCTGATTCGGAAGAAGTACTGTCAGAATGCCTCTTAGAAGTGAGAGAATGGCAAGACATTTTCTCACATACTTTGGACTTTTTATTAGATGAGACAAATCCTTTGAGAAGGACATAACACTAGGTAGAGGGTCAATGAAAAAGAGGAAGACTTTGACAAGGTAGATTGATGCTATGACTGCAGCAGTGGGCTCATATATGACAGATTGTGAGGATGATGCAGGACTTAGCGGTGTCTCTTTGTACTGTGCATAAGGTCACTATGAATTAGCACCAACTCAACACTCACGTGCACTTGACAACAACAGAATAGGGATAATAATACCTTGGAAATGTATGGTGAAGGTAAAATGAAGCTATCCAGAAACCTAGTTCTACAGGCATACAGGGATGCACACAGCTGTGCCCAACACAATAGTTATTAATTTTCCTCCTTCTTTCATGTCTTGTCAGTTGAAAAACCTAAAAATACCTTAAGGTCTCTGAGTCTAAAAGGATTGAGAAGCTAATGCATTTTGAGCTTTGAAAAAGCTAAAGGTGGGCACTTCATGTTTTTCAAGATTTTGAAATGCAGGTACTATTGGGAAGCAGAAAACTCTCCCCTCCAATCTTCTCAGCTGAACGCCCTGTTTCTGACTGCTGTCACCTGTCTATGCCCGCCTGCTGTTTCCTGCTTATTTCTTTGAAAAGGTGTGTTTTCCAATTTTGAGAGTAATTACCTGCTCCATTATCCAATAATTCCAAGGTAATTGTTTTTCCATTCACTGATTCAATCAAGGCTGTGACACTGGCCCTGAGAATGGGCTTGGCTCCTTGGCGAATACTTGCATAAACTATCATAGGACTGGGGAATTGGCCTGTGGCTTTGTTCATTTTGGAGGTCACAGTAACTGGAGGCACCTTGGCATCTGGTGAGCGGGAGGTGACAGTCAGGGTTAGGGTTTGTGAGCTTGCTTGCAGACTGTAATTCCACTTGCCAACCTGACCAAAACAAATGGGGACATTTCTGGTTAATGACTGTAAACGGTACATACCATTCTTTATATCATTTCTAGAAAAAGCTTGCCCGATGCAAATGCATTGGAAGTGTATCTAAAAATGTCTGGGCATCTTTAGTCGTTTGGCAGTAAAGGAAGGTTTCGGTGTTGTTACACTTACTATTTGGTTTTATGTCAAGATATCCTTGTTAGAAAAATCAAGTCTGACATCTGAAAGCTGTGTCCTTATCATAGCCTCAGTTTTTAAAAGAATAGAGTGACAGTAAAGGAGCCCTGGTAGTATAGTGGTGAAAGCATCAAGCTGCTAGCCAAAGAGTGAAGATTATCAGCTTTGGAAAAACTGGTGACAGTTCTACAGGGATTCTGTGACTCAAAATTGACTTTGTGGCAGTGAGTATTTTGGTTTAGGATCAACTTGATAGATTAAGTTAGGTAGAGGAAATGGTTTTATCCCCTTCAGGAATTAAAAGCTTCAGGAATTCTTTTCTGTCTTGACTATGATATAAGTGGAAGGATTTCTCTTTACTACCTGGACAAGATATCACCAGTTTCCTTTCTCTTGAGTTGCTGTCATACTGACTGCTTGTACTGGATGGAGATTTCCCCTTTTCTCACTTGGACTCAATACTGCCTCTCTTCTAAACAATTAGCAACTAAATTTTAAAAGCAACAATTAAAAAAAAAAAACAACCTTTCTTTTATTTTCTTCAATTATAAGAGGAAAGAGAGTTGGGTTCATACCTTAGCAGTGCCTGGGACTTGGAGGTAAGCCACCTTGGACTGTGCATCCACCAAAAAGCCATCTTGTTTCTTTCCACTGGGATCCCAGAGGAGAATTTGGGGAGGTTGTGTTGTCCAGGTGACAAGAAACAAAGTGTCCTTTCCCACAGTGCTGTCTACAATCACCGTGCCGTTCATCCACTCATTGTTCTGGAGGGTCAATCCTTTACTCTCAAGCTGTTAAGAAAACCCCTGTTTACTCTCTGCAGAGTACAGTTCCCATCACATTATCTCTTCCATTCTGTTCTCAAACTCAACTGCCCTTCTGAAAGCCTCCAAGGATGTCTAACTCTTTTGTCTCCACACTTAGATAATTTTATGATTTAATTCTAACTAACCTTTCTAGTTTTTACTTTCACAAGTTTTATTTCTCCACTAAACCATTTAACTTCCTCAAATGATCCTTACAAATTCTTAGCTCTATTCCTTTTCATACTCTAGACTTTTTCTCTAAGTCTGTATGTCTCTATCCATTTGTCTACCCTACCTAACTTACATCATTCACTTCAAATGTAACTTGCTCCACAAAGTCTGTTTGGATGATTCTCTCATTTACCAGCAAAATATAAGCTTCCCTTGCGAATGCCCATGACATTTTCTTTTTATCAGCCCTTTAAAATTCATCTCATTGTGATTTACCTTAGAGCTGTTTATATTGTTTTTACATGTCCTCAAATCAGAAGCAACGCATAGTTGACCCTCCAGTGAATTTCCAAAGACTGTACATTGCATGGAAGGCGATTGCCCATCTTTCTCCCATGGAGAAGTCCTTGGATTTGAACCACCTGCCTTTGGGCTGACAGTGCAACTCCCTACCCACAAAATCACCAGAGTTTCTCAGTTATTTGTAGAAAGAACTAATTTTATTTCTACAACTACGACTTTAAACCCTTAAATGGATTAGCTGAAACTTATTTTTATCCACATACATGTTGCTTGAACAAAAAAAAAAAGTGAGTTGCCAAGTCAAGTATTCTTGTAGTCCTGAAATGACAAGCAAATCTCTGGCCCAGGCTAGTTTTTAATGCAGTAAATGGAAGGAGTTGTAGCACAGGAATTGAGGCATGGAAGGCTTTAGGAAGCTTTTACAGGATGTTATCTTTAAGGATTATCTGCTAGGTAAATATTTACTCTCCTTAAATTGGCACCATTTAGAGATAATATTAATAAAACATGAAGCCATACTTTCTGGTTTCACAGTGTAAGATCTTAAAGTGAAGAAATGGAATGGTTTTTAGATCTAGGTTTTTGTGGTGGGCTCTGAACTGTTATTGATTCTGTGTCTTAATTATTGATTTTGTTCTCTCCCTACTGTTGTTCTTGTTATGTGCTGTCAGGTCACCGCAAACAGCCCTAAACTCTCCTCTATCCTGTGCCAACCTCACTATCTCAGACACACCTATTCTCATTACCCCAGTCACTGAATCAATCATCTCATTGAGGGTCTTCCTCTATTGCACTGTCCCTCCATTCTCCCAAGCATGACATCCCTCTCCAAGGTCTGATCCCCTCCTTGCAACATGCCCAAATGATGTCAGATGACTTTTCCAAATCCTTGCCTCCAATGAGCATCCCGGTTTCACCCTCTCTAGGACAAACCTGTTTGTTCTCCCAGAAGTCCATGTTATATTCAACTCTCTTCTCCAGCACCGCAGCTCAAAGGCATCAATTCTCTTTCTATCATCCAAGTGACTGTCCAGCTGTCTGACGCACAGTAAGCAATTGTGAAGACTATGCTGTCATTGCCCTTCAGTACTCTGGAGAGGTCCCTGACAGCTGACTTTCCCAATGCAATTTATCTCTTGATTTCCTAGATGCTGGTACCAAGAGTGTTGACTGTGGAGCCAAGCAAACTAAAACTGTTAACTATCTCAATCTCTTCACCATCCATACTGATGCTGCCAATTGGCCCAGTGGTGAGAATCTTTGTTTTCTTGATGTTGAGTTACAATCCATATTGAAGGCTGCAGTCCTTGACCTTCTGCAGCAAGCACTCCTCTTCAGTTTCAGCAAGTAGGGTTGTATAGTCTATATAACGCAGGTTGTTGATGAGACTTCCTACACCCCTGATGCCACCTTATTCCTCATACAGCCCAGCATCCCAGGTGATCTGTTCTGCATACAGATTGAAAAGGTATGGAGACAGAAGACACCCCTGGCAGACACCCTTCCCGATATTGAACCATGCAGTGTCTCCTTGCTCTAACTACTGTGTCTTGGTTCAAGTATATGTTTCGCATAAGCACAATCAAATATTCTGGGATTCCCATTCTTCTCAGAGTCAGCCACAGTTTGTTGTGATCCACACAGTCAAAAGCCTTTGCATAGTCTCTCCCTATTAGAATTCTTCAATACAGAAATAAGGGGCAAGAATGCCTGACTGTAAACTTGTCCTGCCATCAATTTGACTACTTGCTAAGGTAAATTAGTCCCATTTTTTTCCCAAACAAGCCCGTGCACTTCTAAATTTGAACAAAAAATAACTCAGATGGATCTAATTGCTGTCTTCCTGTAGTGAATAGATGTTGCATCATTCGTCCAAAACGCCCATTGTTTTGAAATATGCTATCATCAGCCTTTGATATTATAATATTCCTCTTTGTTTATCCAAACTTTCCTAATAAAAGCTATAATGTACACAGGTGTGAGTGCTTATTTGCTTTACCATAAAAACTTATGGGATTTCTTCAATTAGAGAAACTAGAAAAAGAGTATTTGACAGTACATTTGTCTTTTTAGAATAGTACTCAATATTTTAAAGACAGTTTCATTTTCTTGGAATTTTTGAACCAAAAGGAGGTTTCATGGTTTCTACTTGGCTGTGAGACGGAGGCCTCAGAAGGTTATATGCTTTGTCAAAGATCATAAAGTTAAGGCAGACTCGGGAATGGGATCCAGATGTCTGGACTTAAATGCTGGTAGTTCACAAAACGAAGCACTTATAGACAATTATGTGAAAACCCTGGAAAATATCAGAGGATTGAAGTAATGGAAAAATAGAGCAAGTATTCTCTGAGCATATGTACCAGAAAAGTGGTAACTGGGGTGATCTATGTTTTTGAAAATCCCGAGCCAATCATAATACTGTGGGTGCATGTTAACAGATGTGAAAAAGAATTCCTGGGACCACTATATTGTATATTGCTCATTCGTATGAGGAAGTAATTTAATTGTTTCCATACAAGTAAACACTAATTTCCTTAGTTAAATGATTAGTGTTAAATTTTAACAATACAGTCTACTATCAGGCTAACCTTCCATTTCATTTTAATCAATATGGAAAGAATGAAGAACTTGATACTTCTAACCTTTAAGTTCTCTGTCTTAGCTATGGTTAAGTATTAACATGAGAAACCAAAGAGTAAGAGCTCAGACCTGGATGGAGCGCGTGGATGGAGCTCCGTTTCCTGAGGAAAGAGCACTGAAAGCATCGATGAGGCCATTGTTCTGAACCTGATCTGAAGCGTATGTCTGTAAACCTCCTAAAATGAAATGACATCATCTCAGGTTATATTCGTGAAAGCAGCTATTTGTCAAACCTTAGTCATTGTTATGATAACAATATAAAAAACTATATTCTACTGTATTATTTCACTATTACTAAGTAAAAGTAAAATAGGTCCAGAGTAACTCAGACATTGAATGAAATATTTAAGTCCTAGTAAATATATAACTATAGCAACTTCAGTTGCCTGGTCATTTCAACTATCTATGAAGCAATCATGAATCTGATAAACCAACATTTATATTATAAAAGCATATTTCAAATGTTGTTCACTTTACATGAAAGAATGATGCCTGATTTGAAGTCTGTTGCTGTGGCTATTCTCTTATTTGAAACATAATTATGACAAGATTGGCTTTTGGTCATCTGATTTTGAGTGTCAAAATCAGAAGCAGCACATAGAAAAGGATGAGAGCCATTAAAGGCATGTATTTGACAACAGTGAAATAATAGCTGATAAAGGGGCATTTGTGGAAAACTACAATCGACAACACTGATAAAATTACAAGGCCGTCTAGAACAGTTGGAACTAAGGCATACGATATGAAAGCACCTTTGAACTATGAAAAGCTATCTAGAGGTATGGGAGTTATTGCAGTAACATGCCCCCAGATCTCTACCTGGGTGGAGGAACTAGGTATGCCTCTCCCCAGCTGCCCAAACTATTGGCTGTTTCCTTTTCAGAGCATTGCCTTATCAAAAGGAGGCCGCCCTAGCTAGATCTAAGGCATATATTCCTTTACCTTTGCCCTTCCTCAACAGCTTACAGCAGATGGCTGAGGAAGAAAGGGGTTCAAAAGGCTAGCCTTGTTGTGAGACAAAGTCTTGGATCATGTGATGCAATTCCATGTCCAGAGCCACCTGTTGGGTCAGGCTTCACCTGGGCTCTGAGTCCACATCTGTGCTCAGCTCTTCTCCCTGCCTTATCCTGATCTCCTCACCCCCATTCTTGTGTGAGCACTCACTCTATAAATCATATGCATGTGGATCCCTTTCTCCAGCTCTGCAGCTAGGAAGCCTAGCCTACGGCAGGTAGTGTTAGGAGCAAACAACCATTTAACTTTCTGAGGAGTCAGAAGGTACTTCAACATGGTTGATATGGAATATAGTTTAGCTATATATCTTTATATGAGATCTAGATACTCAGTCAATTAACGTTTGCAAGAGAAAGTGCATCTTACTTCACAATTTCAGGTTGACTTTCTATCACCTCTTTGATAACTTACTTTCTAACCTTTGCGTGCCCATTTTATGCTCTAAACACTGGATGGGTCCCCAGGTCCTTTCTTGACTCTTCTCATCTCCTGCACCATTAAAAGCCAAGCTCAGATGTCATCTTCCTCTACCATTCTCCATTCCCTAGGCTCCATTCTTCATGGTTCATTTTCTTTCTGTTGCTATATCACACTTTTATATATATTTTTACATATTTTTTATATCACATCTATATTATTTAGTTGGTCTTCTATCTCTCTGAATCTCCTGCTTAGCTGTTAATTCCATAGTCTGAACCACCTACATTATGTCAGGCTTCAGCGGCTTTCTAAGTCCACGTCCCTGCTTGACTCCTTCTCCTGCTGAATCTGTTAGATTCACACACAACTCTAAGTTCTTATAAAGGAAGTTCTGGTGGCCTAGTGGGTAAGAAGCTGTGTTGCCAACCCAAAGCAAGGCAGTTTGAATACACCAGCTATTCTGAGGGAGAAAGATGAACGATCTCCTTCCTGGCAATTGACAGTCTCTGAAAACTTGCTAGAGGGTCAGCTATGAGCTGATCGCAACTTGATAACACACATCAACAATATCAAAAGTCCTTACAAAGTGCTTGGGAAGAGAGTCTAAATCTACAAAGCTGATGTACTAGTCCTGTCCTCACTCATTCACTCAAAGCCGACCCTCCAGCAGGTTTTCAAAGGCTGTTCAGGAGGAGATTGCCCCTCTTTCTTCTGAGAGGCTGGGTTTGTAACCTTCCCTCTCCTGAACCTTTGGGTTGGCAGCACAATATCCTACCCACCAAGTCACTAGAGCTCTTTCCATCTTCTCTGGATTCCCTCAATCCTAGAACGAAATCCTTACATTAAAAGGAAGTGATGGTGGAGTAAATTCAGATGTCTATTTGGGAGAAGAGGTAGGTAGTTGTCTGTCAGATTATCTCCATGGTTCCTAACCCTTCCATACTCTGCCACCTCAGGCCCCTGGAGTGTCCGATCAGTGGAAATCAGAGGCTCATCCTTCACCTGTCATTTTGGACAGCTCCTCTAGTTCTTTGGCTGCAGAGGGTCCCAGGGCAACAGTGTGGATAATGGCTCCACTTTGCTTCACTTCATTAAAGCACTTGCTTATAGTGTTGTCCTCCCCGTCGGTCAGCAGTACAATTTCAGATCCATCTGTTGGGTATTTTTTTCTAATCACCTATAGACATAATTCAAGATATTAGTCATTGCCTGTGGACATAATTCAGGACCTAACAATTTGTGAAAACTGCACTTATAAGGAACCAGAAGAGATATTCAGAGGGGGAAAAAAATAAAAACATTCTGAGGAAATGAAGAACCTGTCTTAAAATGATAACATTTTAAATTAGTAGCATTCCTGGATCTTGCCAATGGGCTCTCTCTTGACAAGTTTAATGCACAAAGGGCTCGAGAAAATGGACTGCAGATAGTTTTAAGAATGGATGGTCATGAAGAAGCACCGGTGAAAGTGTTCTAATTGTTTTAATACTAATTCTTGGATAGTACTGAAGAAACTGAAAGTGTTCTAATTGTTTTAATAATAACTCTTGTTGGATTTTTTAAGATCCTCAAATACATTTAGAAACCGTCTCCACTTAATGTGGATAATATAATATTTACTGAGGGGTGGAATTTGCTTTGTATGATATAAAACATTAGATCCGTCCTAGTCACCCTGGACTTTCCAGTCCTGAATAGTCAGTGCTAACTCTGTATACATTGGTAGGAACCCCAATATCCCTGACTAAAGCAGCCCGTTTTTGTTACTGTAAACCAAAGCACTTAGTTATCCTATGACACATATCTCAGATATATCTGATTGACTCAGATTATAATTTTTACAAGGTGAAGAGAGGATACTCCTTCTGCCGGTGCTAGGTAAAATTACAGTGCTTTTATTCTAGAAAAGGATGAGGCAAGAAAAGAATAGTTAGTACTACCTGTTTAAGAAGAGGAAGATGAATTCATTCTACTCTTTCTAACCTTCAAGAAAGAATATAGAAGAGAAGCATCAAATCCAAACCCATTACTTTGATTTCATTCTGTCTTATAGAGACCTAATAAGACAATGTGGAACTGCTCAAAAGTGTTTCCAAGGCTGTATATATTCATGGGAATAGACTGCAGACTTTTCTTGAAAAATAGCTGGTGAATTTGAATCACCAGTCTTTTGGTAAGCAGTTCAAGGCTAAATTCACTGTGCCATCACAAGTACTTTCAAAGGAGAAGGAAAAGAATCAAACATACATAACCACCTTTCTCTGAACCAGAATCCCAGAAAGACCCTATAAAATTGGTTGAGAGGAAAATGGTAGGCAGAGGAGGCTCCTTCTTCACTCCTTGTTTTGAACACCTAGGAGGCTGGCTTTTGGTGAGGAGGAAAGAGATCAGAACTGTCCTTGCTTCGTGTAAAAAGTGTCAGCCATGGCCTGTGTGTGTAAGAGCTGAGAGGTCAGAGAAGAAACCCAATTTGAATCCCCTTAGCCTAGTCTCCATGACTGTCATGTGTCATAGAAAACATACAGAAGTACCTTCATATCACTTAATGGGAAACAGAAAACCCCTGAGTTGAGAGCCCGCAGGTGAGGGAATAGATAATCCTGTCTTGGAGACTGGGGAGTGTGCAGCCAGACTGGGGACTGAGTGGAGACAATGGCAGAGTTTAGGGCTTTACTCCAATAGGGAGGATCATGGGCTGCTCCTAAACCAAGAGAACAGGCCAAAATCTAGTGGCCACGCCTTAACAGAGACCACAGGCCTTAACAGAGGCCACAGCAAGGAGTACAGGACAGACTTGCCCAGGGGCCTACAGCAGTGAACAGTGGGACTCTTGAGGATAGCGTGATACTTCACCACCCTGAAGTCACAAAAGTCTCTTGATCCTACATCCAGATTGGATCGGAGAAGAGGAGGATTCTGAATATTAAAGTTTCACAGTCTCACCCAGATGAGTGGAAAATTCAGCAAGAAATTCTCTACTATAGTGCTTACTGGAGTTTTGCATAACAAGGTGTTAGTGGGACACACCAATGATTTTATTAACAGTGGTCCTCTCTTATTTGCCTCTTTAACCAGAGGTTTGGTGGATGGGAGAAACCATAGAGCCCAGATGCACACAGATACCTAGAGAAAGGGTTTGTAGCTGACTGAACTGGGAACTGACCTTCAGTGAGGGGGGTGGAGAGGGTGGGGAGAGAGAGATTTATTCACAAAAAAAAAAATCAAGTGAGGCAGGAAGCTCTTATGAACAAGGGATCCAATTTGCTTAATCATATTTACCTAGGAATGAATCTCTAATGTTTAAGTTTGGAAAGATGGGTAAGAGCTAGCCTGGAGATTTTTGTCCTTAATTTTGTTAATTAGGAGACATTAATGATATCTAAGTATAGGGATGATATGACGGATGGTCAGATGAAATCTCTGGATATCTGTGTGATCACAGTCCATAATTCCTGAGGCCTCCTGCTTCAATAAATAGACCATTTGCTTGCTCAGAAAGATGTCTAACATTTGGAAGTTTAAGTGTTATATTGATCCAAAGAATAACCACCACTCACAACTCATTCTTGATGTTAAAAGATATTCTCTCACATTGCTGTGTGCTTTTCTTTCACAGCACTTATTATCATTTGAGTGTACTTTTATTTGTGCAATTGTGATTAATGTGTCTCCTTAATAAACTTTTAAATTCTGTGGCAGAAAGACACATATGCTTGACCCTCATGGTCTTTTGAATGTGTGTCATTGTATTTGGGATGCAAAAGGCACAGCAAATATTGAATGCAGGTATACATGCAGAAAGGCATGATTGTATAAATACAAGAAAGTAGTGGCAAGACACTGCACTGCAATCCCAGAGGTACGCAGTTCAAATCCACCAGATGCTCTGCTGGAGAAGGAGGGAGCAATCTCCTCCCGTACCAGTCAGATCTGATTTGACGGTACACGTAAAAACAATACAATAAAAATAAAAAAATTTTAAAAAATACAAGAAAGTTCAGAAAACATAAATTAATTTAAAAATCTTTGGAGATGTGTACTTTTGCATCATTTGAACCATTACCTTGTCCCTTCAGGAAACATTTTTTTCTTTTACTAATAATGTTAAAAAACATATTGCGATGGCAAAGTCTGCTGTTAGGGACCTCTCCAGGGTACTGAAGAGCAATGGTGTCACTCTGGAGACTAAGGTGTGACTGATACAGGCCATGGTCTTTGCAATCACTTGTTATGCATCAGAGAGAGAGTTGGACAATAACTAGGGAGGATAGAAGAAGAATTGATGCCTTTGAGTGGTGGTGCTGGAGAAGAGTATTGAATATACCATGGACTGTAAAGAAAACAAACAGATTAATACTAGAGAGGGTTAAACTGGGCTGCTCCTTGGAGGCAAGGATTCTGGGGCTTCGTATGACACACTTTGGACATGTTGTAAGGAGGAACCCGTCCTTGGAGAGGGACATCATGCTTGGGAGGGTAGATGGATAGCACAGGAGAGGAAGGCCCTCTATGAGGTGGATTGATTCCGTGACTGGGGTAATCCAGATAGGTGTGTCAGAGAGTACAGTTGGCACAGGATAGAGCAGAGTTTAGGGCTGTTATACGTAGGGTCGCTATGAGTTGCAAGCGACTCAATGGCACATAACAACAACAATAATGTTAAGATTAGGTGCTATACATTATGAAAGCACTAGAAATGAAAATTCCTCAGGAGATACATTGTAACCCTGGGCAAATTGTATCAAGGGAGCATGGCTTACCGTAAATGCTGATTGAAGCCCTGAGCAGATGGAGGTACCCCCTGCAGCTACTGTGGGCAAGCTTTTAACCAGACCATCTCTGTCAGCGCTGCTGTGTACTTGTTTGAGGTCGCTTTTGACATAGGCAGCACTGTCGAACACCACCATCCCAACCCAGGACCCCTGCTCAACTGTCTGCAACAGGAAAAGTTTGCCTGCTTGATTCAGCCGATTAAGGCGACCACCACTCTGAATGGAGAAAAAGAAGAAAATTTAGTTGTAAATGGTCAGTTTAACAGGATGACAGATTACAGAGAATTTGGAATTGGCTGCCCTAGTGTAAAAAGACAATAAGTTTACTTGATGCATATTCTTCTATAGGAAACTATTTCTCCTTCTATTCAGCAGAGTATTTATGTAGAATTTTAGAGCCTTTGTGTAAGCAGCTAAAGATAAATTGTGTGAGGGAATCATTAGGAAAATGCTTGTTGTTTTTTGTTTACTTGACTTTGTCCTTTTTTTGCTGCTTAGTCCAAAGCACAGGATTCTCAATGGCTGTGACCTTTTAGAAGTAGATCACCAAGCCTTTCTTCCAAGGTACCTATGGGTGGATTTGAATCACCAGCCATTGGGCTGGTAGCTGAAATGCCTATCTGTTTGTACTACCTAAGGACTCCTAATAGCACTGTATGACTACTACTACACATTTCCATCTAGTCAGGACTCACAGCTGACCTGGGTTTCTGAGGCTGTAAATCTCTTGGGAGGTGGTATATTTTTCTCCTAAAAAGCCACTGGTGAATATGAACTTCAATAGAGGTGCAGTCTTTGGCCTAGCAGTGTAACTCCCTATGAGTTATACTACCAGAGCTCTCTATAGTTCTGCAGATACAAACACACACACACACACACACACACACACACACATCAATATATGAGTGCACATACAGACATATATGTGTCTAATATGCACATATAATATATACATATATACGTATGTATATATGTTGTACTCCATAGTACTCTACAACAACATATGTTGTTACTATGCACCTTTGAGTCAGACCCATAGCTGACCCTCCAGTGGATTTTCAGAGACAGTGAATCTCATGGGAGAAGATTGTTCATCCTTCTGCCAGGAAGCAGCTGGTGGATTTAAACTTCGTGCCTTTGGGATTGCAATGCAGCTTCTTATGACTAGGCTACCAGAACTCCTTTATGCATATATCATATACAATGTATATTCACATCTATACACATATATGGGAGCTCTGGTGGCCTAGTGATAAGAAGCTGTACCACAATCCCAAAGGCATAAAGTTTGACTCCACCAGTTGCTCAACAGGAGGATAAGAGAT